GTTCTAACCACAACCTCGCCCCTCCCCACCCCCCAACCATTCGGAATTCTTTATAATGATATTCCAATGAGCCGCTTTGTGATATCACAAAGCCCGGAAAACAAACGCTGTAGTCCAAACGAGCCGTTTGCTGTAGTTCTTGAAAAGGGATTTTTAAAAAACGAAATATCTCCCTTTGGAGTGGACTTTGAGATTTGTAACTTTCTAGATCTTTTTTATGCCCAAACATACACACTACACACTGACTAAAATTAAAAAAGTGAAAAAGCATAATAGGACCCCTTTAAGTTAAGTTGTGTTTAATGTCTGCTAGAATGTTAAAAAATGTTCAGTGTTAAGTAAATATTTTTAAATTGTTGTTTTGTAAATAATTTTTTTCTTTGAAAAGCAAGACAAAACCGTAAAAAGCACATTTTGGCTATTTAATTTATGCAATGGTGAAAAAATTGGCAAAATGGGGGGAAAACGTGAAAAACCGTGTTTGGGATTCGGCCTTCGGCCCAGTGTTTCATTTTGTTCGGCTTCGGCCAAGAATTTTCATTTCGGTGCATCCCTACTATTAAGCATTTCTAAGCGGTACAGCACACAGAGGAAGATTTACAAGCCGCCCGCTCAAGGATCAGTTTCAGGTCATTAGTGGAGTGTTGCTAAGTGCCCGGTTTCAAATTAATAGCGCCTAACAATAGATTGCACCACTCTGAATGAGCAAAGGCACCGTCCCTGACCGACTCAGACAATTAGACAATGACCATTTACCAAAAAAATAAATCCTATATTTACCCACATTGCATAAACCTCAGCCTTGAAAAGCAATGCCATTCAGGACGCTAAACAATATCTGCAGGTCTTTCTGTGAGGTAAGGCGTTATTTATAATGAACTCTTATCAGAGGTTGTTATTTTCGACCCTCAGGTGAAAACAATAGCCTGGAGATGTACGGCGCACGAGGTCACTTAAACGGTTAGCTTTTGTTTTTATTATGTATTTGCGTGGTGGTAAGAGTCCTCTGGCAGGATGCCATCAGTGGGCAATTGTTTTGGGTCGTGTGTGTGTGTGTGAGATGAAGGGAAATGGCAGAAGGCACCAGGCTGTGGTCGAGTAACACATATACTGTAGTCTGTGTTAGACACTGCTGCCCATGTAGCAGCTGCACTGCCTGATTAACGCAGTTACCTTTGAGATGAAATGTCAGTATGCAAGATTAGGATTGAAGAGCTTTAGATCATAGAACATTGAATTAGAATGTCAAAAGTGGCTGGATGGTGTACTGTGTGGTGAATATGCATTTGCACATGCTTTGGGAGCTAATGTTACCCATAATCCTATGTGGGCCGCAAGGAGGTTGATTTCTGATGCTTTTATTCAGTATCAAGATGCAACTGTATGATTTCATGAAACAGATTTTACTTCTAGGTCACGTGTCCACCAAAGTGTTTTTAGCGAGCTGAAAACACCAGACGCTCTGCTAAAAAAAACCTAGCTGTGAGCGCTTGAGAACGCTTCTGCGGCGCAGCAATTTCAGTTGAGATGCTGTGGTTGCTATGATAGGGAATATCCGCTAAAGTAATATGGCAGAGGCATCGCGAATGAAATGTTTCACCCAGCATTATTTTTCATAGCAATATTGTGGTAGTGTGGGAATTATATCTGGTGAAGACATGAATACTCGGAGACAAGCAATATTAACTTCTCCATTATTGTTCAGTCGTAGTACAAGCAGGGTGTGCCGGTTGGTCGGTATTAGTCCCGCCCCTCTTCCACTGTGATTAGTTAGCTGACTAAAAAGTGACAGTCATGAGTGCTGCGTTTTACCCAAAGTTGAACATTCTTCAACTCTCGGCGCCGAGAAAAAAAAAAGAATGAAGAATCTGGAAACCATCTTATTTGAAGTGTCTTATTTGAGTTCGAGAAACGTAAAAAGAGTTAATTCACATACATTCAGAATCATAAATGTCACTAAACATCTGTTAAATGCTGTTCCTAATGTATAAACAACGTCAAATATGCATTGAAATATGTGCACTATCAGAGAGAATGTTCCAGTAACTGCATACTGACTTACGTCATCTTTAAAAACCCAGTGAGATCGTTTGACAAGCAGCGTTTTCGTTCCTGTGTTGACACATTTGCTGTTGAAACAGGAAGTTTGAGGAGGGATATCGAAGGTCTCCATTGGTTTTTTTAATGAATAATATGTTTTAGTTATGTCACAACCGTGAACATGATTTGCTTCATGCTAATTGTGGAATCATGAGAGAGGACATTCTAATTATTAAGAGCATTTGATTGGTTGAAAATCGCTGTAGTGCAGGATGAGTCATCAGTACTTTTCATCTGTTTTCCTTGAACAGAAAAAGTAAAAAAAAAAAAAAAAAAGCTAAATATATTTACTTTTTTATTTTATTTCTATTTTTAATACTCTGAAACACTCGATTAAGATTGGTCAGTTGTGTCAACTGTGGTCAAACATGATATATTTTCTAATATTTGTAATTATTTGATTTAATATTTATATAAATGTAATGCATAATAATATTATACACATATTTATTTAGATATATTGTTTTTACTTGCATATCTGTTATTACATTTAGATTTATAAACATTTAGTTATTAATATATAATGCATATTATAATTATATAATACATATTATATTATACACACATATCTGTTTATAATATAATACATCATATTGTACTGTATTATATGTTTTAATATATATTTATTATACTAATGTTATATCATTATGCCAAATAATTATATTTATATTTTATTATTAATAATAATTTGTCAACAAATGAGCAAGGATTGTCAACAATTGATGCCTTAATCAATTATGTACATAGTAGTGACCAAACAATCCGTTATTCTGCAGACATTGAGGTAAGGAGTCATAGAGAGAGAGTTGAAATAAGGACAATGAACTGCATACAGGGCAATACTCTTTAAACATGATTAATGAGCTAAACAAGTTTAGTAATCACATAAATACAGAAATGAATTCAGCAGTCAGCAGCCCATTGTATATTTCAGTCCTCGCCACACAATACACAAACGCCATGTGTTATTTCTCAACAGGAGAAGATGAAAAGCAAGAATAAGTTGGTCCCGCGTTTACTGGGCATTACCAAAGAGTCAGTGATGAGGGTGGATGAGAGGACCAAAGAGGTGGTGCAGGAGTGGCCCCTCACCACAGTCAAGAGGTGGGCGGCCTCACCCAAGAGCTTTACACTGGTACGTTACATTATTCACTCCATTCAACATGAGCCACAGTGTGTTTGGATTCTTCCATAGATTCTGCATTCACTTTATCTGCTCAATATGTTTATATAGTTCTGTATACAGTCAATAAAAGCATGAAAGTATTGGTCATTATCATGGTAGCTGCCTTCAAACAAGTGATGTTTGTGTGACAAATACTTTTTTGGACCCATTGTATGTTATTTTTTACTTTATATTTCAATCTTAATAAAGCATATCATATTTGACAATGGAATACAATTATAGATCTGATTATGTCACATACAGAATAGAAGTAAATCAAATCAAATTGAATCTTGAAAGCATTGGAATCAAGCTGAATCTTGAGTCAAATCAAACTGAACCTCAGACTGAATAAAATATAACAAAACTGAGTCAAGTTGAATTTACTTTAATTTAATCAAAATTAAATTTGACTATTAATTTAAAATATCATCTTAAAAATTAAATATATATATATATATATATATATATAATGTTTATTATAATATAACAATATAATACATAATGATATTGTACATGTGTCTATTTAAATATAATGTTTCTATTTGTCATTTTATACCCTGTATTTAAAATGTAAACTACATTTATAATATAATATGATACATAATATTATAGTGTAGAATAATGTAATAATATATTATCATACTAATATATAATATTATGTAAAATATTAATTTAGTTTTTATATATATGTGGAAATATGTTCCGTTTGTATATTATTAATGTACATTATTAAGCATTGTTGATTTATTGATAAATATATATTTTAAGTATGAGTATAAAGGATTTGTGATTATATAAACCAGCATGAATTCAGCTTAATCACTCTGAAGACGTGAAAATAGCATGATGGGGGGTAAAGATGAGAGAAATTAAAGTTTGCTCTCTTTGAATTTGTTGTGTTAGTTTATTATTCTGATATTATTTTTCATTTTTTTCATGACTATTCTTAATATCTGTTTTCATACATTTATATTAAGCAGTATTGCCAACTGCTAACGTCATTGTAAAACAATGTTGTTTTGGCTATAATATAATAATAGTTTTTTTTTCTTTGATAAAATGCCCCAGTCCTCTACTACTTGAGTATTTTAACCTTGCCGTGTGATGCTTTTTTGGACCCATTGTATGTTATTTTTTACTTTATATTTCAATCTTAATAAATATGAAATTACAATAAAATAAAATATAATGCCTAATAAAATTATAAATGTATCTATTTTTGTAATATTTCTATTTATATATTGTTATTTTATGCTTTATATTTTAATCTTAAAAATTAAATATATATATATATATATATATATATAATGTTTATTATAATATAACAATATAATACATAATGATATTGTACATGTGTCTATTTAAATATAATGTTTCTATTTGTCATTTTATACCCTGTATTTAAAATGTAAACTACATTTATAATATAATATGATACATAATATTATAGTGTAGAATAATGTAATAATATATTATCATACTAATATATAATATTATGTAAAATATTAATTTAGTTTTTATATATATGTGGAAATATGTTCCGTTTGTATATTATTAATGTACATTATTAAGCATTGTTGATTTATTGATAAATATATATTTTAAGTATGAGTATAAAGGATTTGTGATTATATAAACCAGCATGAATTCAGCTTAATCACTCTGAAGACGTGAAAATAGCATGATGGGGGGTAAAGATGAGAGAAATTAAAGTTTGCTCTCTTTGAATTTGTTGTGTTAGTTTATTATTCTGATATTATTTTTCATTTTTTTCATGACTATTCTTAATATCTGTTTTCATACATTTATATTAAGCAGTATTGCCAACTGCTAACGTCATTGTAAAACAATGTTGTTTTGGCTATAATATAATAATAGTTTTTTTTTCTTTGATAAAATGCCCCAGTCCTCTACTACTTGAGTATTTTAACCTTGCCGTGTGATGCGCAGTTCTGCTCCACCATTAAGAGCCACTTTTAGCATCTCATGTACTGTATAGCACTTGTACTCCAAGGACAGTTGGCTGACGTCCTGTCAGCAAGAACAGAATAAGCACATCCACACTGTACAAGAAGACAGCCTTGAGATGAATGCTTCTCATATCTGTTATATTTGTGTGTGTGTGGCCTCGTGCAGGATTTCGGTGAGTACCAGGAGAGCTATTACTCCGTCCAGACCACAGAAGGGGAGCAGATCTCTCAACTCATCGCCGGATACATTGACATCATCCTTAAGAAAGCAAGTCACTGGCTCTTCAACACATGTGAATTAAAGGGACGGTTCACCCAAAATGTCATCAAGAGAATATTATTCAGATTCCCCATGTTTAAACTTTCTGAGTTTTAAATTTTGGGTGAACTACCACAAAATGATCCGTCCTGTGGATGTTCCTTATTTTTGGTGCCATTTATTAACTTAAACGTTTTCCTCCCCTTGTTTTACAGAAACAGAGTAAAGATCGGTTTGGTTTGGATGGTGATGAGGAATCCACCATGCTGGAAGAATCCGTATCCCCGAAAAAGTAAGTGGAGCTCTCTTGTTCTTGTCCCATGATACCTTGTTTTCATGCAGGAGCCATCTTGTCACACTTATTGTGACACAACACACAGTGTTGTGCTGATATTTCTTCAAATGTCCACTTTTCAATTATCTGAAGCACAAAATCAGGGTAACAGGGTTGACTGTTTTACAGTTTCATTTGATTTTGCAAGCCTTTTGCTTAGGGTCATTACACTAGGAAGAGAACATAATGCTGATATTTCTAAAACTATCTAGTTTTCAGTAATTATTTGCTTACTATAGAAAATAATGGTAACAGGGTTGACTGTTTTACAGTTTCATTTGACTTTACAAGCCTTTTGCTCAAGGTCGTGACAATAGAAGGAGAACTTAATACTTATATTTCTACAAATAACCAATTTTCATTAATTACTTGCTTACTATACAAAATATTGGTAACAGGGTTGACTGTTTTATCGTTTAATTTGACATTACAAGCCTTATACTCAATGTTCTGAAACTACGACATGATTCTTAAAAGAATAACTTAATTCTGATATTTCTACAAATCTCCACTTTTCCATTTAGTAGATTTTTCATTTAAAAAAACAACAACACGCTAACAGGGTTGATATTTTAAGATAGTCCCATAATGACAAATGTAACAAAATAATTAAGGCATGTTTTTCACTAAATGAACACCAAAATATTAGTAAGGATCGGTTTGGTTTGGACTATGATGAGGAATCCACCATGCTGGATGAATCTGTGTCTTGTAATTGCAAAACATTTTTTAGTTGAATCACTGTTTCATTTGTATTCAACTGATAGTGGAACTGAGGTGTCTAATGACGTTGGAGGAGATGCTCAGGCTGCACGCTGCCGTTTTTAATCAGAAGGAGATGGAGACACATTTTTCTCTTCTTTTCCCCTTGATGCGGATGGCGCTGAGGGCAAGAGAGCGAGGTTATTATTTCCACAAAAAGCGCTACCTCATCAGCAAAACGTCATTTAATATATCAGGTTCCTGGAAGAGAGAGATAGAGATAGTGAATGTGTGAATATTTCCCTTCCTACATTTTGCTATTTCTCAGCCGCTCATAAATCTATCTCGGTATTTATGTATTTGGGTCATTCTGAGTAACAGCTGTCTTTTAAAGTTTGTTAAGTTGATTTTTAAAGTATATTTCTGTAAATGTGAAAACATTCTACTAAACAAATAAGTGTTAATAAATTGCATTATGCCATATCAAGCTACAGTAATTACATTTAGGATATAATTATGGCTTCTGAAAGGTACTATATAAAGATGAGCAGTAACAGGGTTGACAGTTTTATTGTTTAATTTTTACTTTACAAGCCTTTTACTCAGGGTCTTGACTTTAGAAAGAGAATGCTGGTATTTCTGCTAATCTAGTTGTGAATAATCAATTATTTATTGTAGAAAATAATTTCAACAGGGTTGATTGTTTAATTTGACATTACAAGGCTTGTGCTCAGTCAAAATCAAGCTACAAGAGAATTTAATGCTTATATTTTTACATATATCCTCTTTTTAATAATCTGAAGTTCACTATACAAAATCACGGTAACAGGGTTGACTGTTTTACATTTTAATTTCACATTACAAGCCTTGTGGTCAAGGTTGTGAAACAACAACATGTTTCTTAAAATAATAATTTAATTTTGATATTGCTATAGATATCCACCTTTTAATTAAGCAGATTCTTACTACACAAAAACATGGTAACAGAGTTGATATTTTAAAGTTGTCCAGACAAATGTAACATGTTCCACTGTTTCTTTTTTTTTTTTGTATTGAATTAGAGAAATGTAAAAGGGAAGCATTTTCACTAGAGACTTCAAATCTGAGCTAATGTTCAGACCAGGCTAGTTTACCTAATTGTACAGCGCTAACAAAATTCTCATGAATATATTGTGAATATTCAATATATGGTCCTGTACTTAATTTCACCAGCGCTTTTATCCGGCCTGGGCTCTGGTTCTGTCAGAATGGGATATACAGATGGGTCACGTCCTCTCGAGGGCTGCCTGAAAAGTGGTTGTTATGGGCGACGGCATCCCACTTCTCTGTGAAGGAGAGAGGGGGGAGACGTCGGGCATCGATGCCTGCGTCTGTCCTCGTGCCAACTTACTCATGTTACTTCTAGCACTATAATCCAAAAATTGAGGCCTCTCACATTGAGCTGTAATTATGCAATAGTGCCTGAAGCGTCTGTTTTCCTGTTGCGAATAGGGAAGCGTCACTCAGCTGATTTTAATGGCTGCCAGTAATTACCGTAACAACAACAACAACCATCATTCAGATATAAGGGTGAATGCAGCCTGACAGCTTTTGATAATGAGTCATTACTTCTTCATAGGTCCACCATCCTCCAGCAGCAGTTTAATCGGGTGGGTCGAGTCGAGCACGGGTCGGTGGCGCTGCCTGGCATCATGCGCTCGGGGTCAATAGGAGGGCCCGACACGTTCAACATGGGCACCATGCCCTCGGCTCAACAGCAGATCACCACGGGGCAGATGCACAGAGGACACATGCCCCCTCTGGTGAGAATGTACAACTGCACTGATGTTTTTATTACGATCGCATCATATGCGGTTCTGCTTTCATGGCTTCATCTGTTACCTAAATCTTCATTGTAATTTATTTGTGCCTAACGTATTGTAAATTAGACTAATTAATAGACTAATAAATTAACATTTGATAATTGGGTGTTTGTTGCCTTCTGGTTTTGGTGAATTATTAAATTATTCTGGTTTCTGTTTTTTGGCTTCTAGGTGAATTATTAAAACTGATGATTAAATAACATTTATCAAATCTTCTCTGCAGTGCTATTTTAGTATAACTGAGATACTATTGTACTTCTTATTATTAATTATTTTAATAACAATTTTTAATATATTTTCCACTTTCATTTAGATTTACCGCTTTAGTAATTTTGTTGTAAGTTTTGTTTTTTTTATGATGTCTATGTTGTTTTTATTAGTTTTATTTCAGTTGTAGTTTGTTATTTTAGTACATCAAGTTAAACTAAATGAAAAAGAGAAATGTTGCCTTGGCAGCTAGCTGAAATAAAATGTCAATGTTTCATATATATTTTATTTCAAGTAATGAAATTTTTTTAATGGTTTAAGGGTACGCTTACACAACGACAATGTACTAAAAACCAGAGAGAAAAAAAATCTGTGCATTTTTGAAAAGTTTTGCATACAGACAACAACGTTGTAAAAACGATCCACATTTAGCGGATACGCAATACACATAATACGCATGCGCATGACGTCACCGTTTTCACAAATTTAGTGTTTTTGTAGTTTACACAAAGATGATAACAGTATCATTATCAAAAGCTTGCACTTTGAAACCTGTTTGCAAAAGTCAGTTAACTATAACCCTGCTTTTTTGTGGGATTTGTTAAAACTATGCAGTGTAACCTTGTGGTTAAGACTGAAGAAATTGTAAAATTGTAAATTGTAAATACGTTGCAAATTTTTGTGGACATTTCAACATCGATCCATGCAATCTGGAATCCACACGATCTGGACTCCTCAAACTGTTGCTCTGACACAACTTGAAAATGAACTAAGATCATGCTAATGTGTGCTTTAGCTTGTGACGAAGCTATGAATTGCGTTCTGATGCACTTCATAACACAACGATGCGTAAAAAGATGCATATCTAGCTTGTGTTTGCGTTCATCTGTAGTGTTAAAAGCCTATTTTTCTCCAAAGCGTCTTCTAAATGACTACTTCCTGTGCCAACAGAGTCTGGCCCAGCAAGCACTGATGGGAACTATCAACACCAGTATGCAGGCTGTCCAGCAGGCACAAGCTGACCTGGGAGAGGTAGACAATCTTCCACCACTGGGACAAGACATGGTAAGAAATTAAACGAATTATACTGTACTTTCTTTTTTTTATTTAAGGTAAAGTTTGTAATTTTGTGCAACTGGTGCAAAAATTGTGCTGTTGTATTGCTGTAAACAGTCTATTGTCTGATTTTATGTGGGTAAAGGTGTTAAGAGAAAAGATCCTCGTACAGTATGTCCCTGTGTGTGATATATTATGCAGTAGAAGGTTGCTAGTTCAAATCCCATTAGGGACATTGAGTCACAAGGTAGTCTAAAAGCCTCATAATGTGGTTATTTATACTAAGGTTTTTGTTATTGTGACATTACATTAACGCATTATGGCATTGGCGTACAATTATTGTTCATTAATTGACTATAAGTGCCGAGATTGTCATTGATCATTAACCTGCTCTTAGATAGCCTTGATATTTCTTATTAAAAAACGCAGAGAAAACAGACATGAATACGCTAGTATTCACTCTCATCTCTTTTCTCCAAAAAGGCATCCAGAATGTGGGTTCAAAACAAGGTGGACGAATCCAAACACGAGATTCACTCCCAAGTGGACGCCATCACGGCTGGAACCGCGTCAGTGGTCAACCTCACTGCCGGTATGTAACCGAATGAGAAATTATCCAAATTACCCATACCCCAAAAAATGTATATATTATGAAAAACAATACATTTCAATATTTATCGTGAAATAATTTATAACTATTTTTAGATAAAAATAGACTGTTCTCAGTTGTTGCGTCATTGCATTAAATATTAGACACAACATCCAAGGTAGGGTTGGGAATTGAAAATCGAATCCAATTCCAGAATCGGATACTTAAAGTCAGGAATTGGATACTTGTTGTAAAATTAAAATTTCGATTCCGCCTATCGATTCCTGTGCACGCATCTTTTCTTTTTTTTTTCCCATTTGTTGAATACCTGTTCTGGTGATCTGTCAGGACCTTCCTCGCTAATCTAAGCGCTCCTCTTATTCCTAAATGACAACGATTCAGCTGTTAAACCTTTGAAGTGTGCGATCACAACGGTGTGATCATTCTCTGTTCGTCCCTGTGTGATTTGAACATTAAAATCTGCGTTCGCGCTGCCGCTGACCTAAAGAGAGCAGCTGTCATGTATATGTATGAAACAGCTTCATAGACAATCTTTTCAACCACACAGTATCAATATTTCTGTTACAAACATTCCATTCAAACAATCACAGAAGTACGGGGATAAAAGTTTATAGTTCGGATATAAATGCTGATATGTACGGTAGCAATCAAAATAGAGTCAATTACCTTTTGGAAGTAATTTGACGCTTCAAGAGATTCATTCAAAAACACTGATTCAACCAGTAATGAAACAAGTAAATCTTGAGTGAGTCATCATCCATTCATAAATTACATGTGATTTTGTTTATTTGTCTAATGTTTTTTTTTTCTTCAGAATCGTGAAAGAACCACAACCTCCATTTAAAAAATAAAATAAAAAATCTCAATTTATCCAGAATCATGCACCTTTATTTTGCACACAAACAGCTCTTAATACTGTATATATATATATA